GTGCAAAGTGGTACAAATCTTTCAGCAAGTTATTTAGCAATTTAGAAATTTGCCTCTATGACTGGGTAAGGGTACAGGGCAGTGACAACCTCTCAGGGTCTCAGCTACTTCTTCTATAATATAGAGCTAATGATACCTTACCCTCACTCCCAAGATTTCTTGCGAGGATTAAATGAAACGGTGTATATAAAGTGCTTGGCCAGCATTAATGGTAGTTGTTAATCATTCCATTCCTTATGACGATATCAGATGAGAAAAGCTTTAAGAACAGGGGCATTTTTTTCCGGCGTTTCGTGTCTACAGATCCAATCTAGAGCAGTGTACAGATCCAATAGGAGGGGGCGTGGTGAGGCGGCCCACGCATGGACGCAAAATGCGATCTTGGCACAGTCACGCACGGCAGGGGTTACAAGGACACGGGCAAGTCCACAGGACGGAATACTGCAAGGGCGCTGCAGCTCTACAAGATATATATAGGAAAAAGACCGGAGGGGAACCTGCAGAAATGCTGGTAGGCAGGGAGGTTCAGAATGATCTTGTCTCTTTTGCCCAACTTCTGGATTGTAAGGTTATGGGGTTATTTTTATAGACAAACAAAATCACTTGAAAAGAGCAGAGGCTGTACAGATCTGGCCAGCGAGGTGAGCAGGGCAATGGCTGGTGGGCCCTCGGTGCCTGAATCCTGACCATTCCTACTCAGTACAATGAAACTTCAAATAAGCGGCCTGCAGCCAGTCAGGACTCCTGTGGGGGTGGTGCCTGGCTCGCCCGCTGGAGGGGAGACAAAGGTGTGCCGTCAAAAGGGTTCAGGCTCTGCAGCTGGTCGGCACGGGGCTCGTCTCTGATCTATACTGACTGCAAGCCTCTTCGCCATTAAGGCTCAGAAGACAGCCCTACCCTTCTGGGTTGTCGTGAAGATTAAGCGAGGTGGAGGCTGTACGTGACTCTGTCTGTACCCTCAGCAACTCTGCGAGGGCCACTGCCCGGCCCCCACCACGGGGAACAGATGACGAGCAGCCTGGCCCGCCAGAGGCACCTGGGGACCAGCAGGCCACTCCTCTGTCTGCACACCGAGCGCCATCCTGAGGGGTGGGCGGTACTGAGCCCAGCGCTGCCTTTGAGAGTTTGCCGCCGGCTCCTTCCAAGCGTCACGGTGGATGAGAAATTCTCTGATCCCTGGCAGGCCAAAGGGAAAATAAGTTGGGGCCTGACGGCCATGCACACTGCGGCCGAAATAGCCTTTAACAGGCGATGGTCATACTTAGGTTCGTAACCAAAAAGCTTGATGGTATCGAAGAAGGGGTAGGCCTGTGTTATCAGACGGTCGATCGCACCATTTTCTAGCCCAGAGACCTTCAGCCAGTTCTAGAAGATCTCTCTCTGAGCCTCAGTTTCTCTGTGAGAGGGGAAAGCCACCACCTACCTTTCTCAAGCTTAAGGGATGGTTCAGTAAAGGTCGTAGGCAGAAGCACGCAGGCACCAGGGGACACTGCTTCTTTGCCAGGAAGACGACTGAACGGCTCTAGATCCCAACTTCCAGGAGCCAGACAGAAAGGGTAGCGTGTGGGGCAACTCATCTTAGGGCACAGAATCACCAAAATGACGAGGGGACCCCGTGGGCGGCAGAGTGTAGCGGAGAGAATGAAATCAAGTAGCATGTGGAGTCCTGGCCCCGCCACCTTCTGACCAGATGACCCCGGGAACACCGGTCAGATGCATTTTCTTAGCCCTAGTTCCCATTCGGTGGAAGAAGAAACAGATACCCGCTGCAGAGGGCCTAGAACACAACAGGCGCTGGGCTGTGCTTGCTGCTAACTGGTCTCTGACCCCCAGCCCGCACTGCCTGACCCCTCCCAGCCCTGGCTCTCACCCTGGGGAATCCTCAGGGCATTCTGGCAGCCCGTTCTGAATAATAATGGAAGTAGCTAGTACTTCTGGAGAAGAAATAGTCACTGAATGTTAATTAGCTGGTGTTAACTGAAAAACAGAGGGAATGTTTTCCCCAGAAATTTTTCTGAAGTGTTCCTCCAGTTGTCATCAGACGGTTGTCAGGGGCTGGGACACCCACCTTTGATTCGGAAAGAGCATTTGACGTAGGAGAAAATTTCATTTTGGGGAAACGCAAGTCAAAAAAGAATCGACACGGGGATTCTCTTTAAAGGCCGTCTTTAAAAGGTCCCAAATAGCTCACACCTGGTAGGGTTTTGAAGCTATTTGCTGAATGAATGGATGCATGAATGGACAGATGGACATCATCTGGAAAGAAAGAACTAGAGTCCAACGGGTGGGCCAGCCAGAGAGCTGGCAGCCGATATTCCTGGGCCTTGATGAATTCCAGACTCCGAGCTGCTGCGGGAGGCCAAGGAGACTGTCTTATTGTTAATCAGCTCCATCTTGCCGTCCACAAAGTTAATTATTTAATGGTCTATTTGGAAGTGAGAGTTGGGGCAGAAGCCGGGAGGACGGAACCTCTCGCTCCACTTCAAAGATCTCCTGTCTCTTGCTGCTGTCCGAACCCTCTAAGTTGCCGATGCACTTTGATATTCCCAGCGGAGACAAAGATCCGTGAGTCCAGAAAATCCAGGCCAGATTAAAGGGCCAGGCACCGAGTCCACGTGCCCCACACGGAACCACCGGCAACAAAGGCCCATTAGGATCTGGCTCCTGCCTGCCGGCTTGTCTTCTCGTGTCTCCCAACACAATGCTGACAGATTGGTGGAGCTGCTTTCTTTCCCCCCCAGAACAATATTTTATGAGGAGTCTGTTTTATTAAAATATTTTCCGCTGGATGCTTCCTGTGTTTCAAGAACTTGGTCTTGCCAGCTGGAGCTGATGACAGTTGAGAAAAACACATCCAAGTGCTGTTGTGACATGGCATTTGGAAGTGGAGGAGCACAACGGGGGTGGGGGGGTGGGGGTGGGGAGGTGGGGGGGATGGGTAGGCAGCATGGGAAGAGATGCAGGAAAATACCCCGGTTGCACCAGAAATGTCGCTGGTATTAGGGGAGAACAGCACCCCTCCCCCCACTAAAAAAATACGAACAGAAACTCTTGGAATAACATCCCCAATTGTACTACTTCCCTACCACCTGCAGGGCTGGAGCTGCCGTGGCGGACAGAGAACCTGCCATTTGCGTTCTATCACTGCCAGTGAACTAGCGCCCGTGTTCCCACTGGTTCATTTCAACCCAAATGCTTCCGGAACAGAAACCTAAAACAAGGCGTATTGCACAAAGAAATGAAAAGTGATACCGGCGCAGTTGGACTAATGACAAGGATGATGGGATGGCCAGACGCTGGCTCTGGGCATGGACTGAAGAGGCTTCCCCTATCACTGGGCTGGGACAGCAGCGGCGTAAATGAACGAAATCAGGAATTCTAACCTCTAATTGGTGCCCTGGTCACAAAATAGGAAATGGTTTTCAGTAAAACGTGGAGTGTTGCTGGCTCTGGGTGCTCTTGGGCATGCACGGCGACTCTAGGCTTGCATTTCAGTATCTACAGACCCACAACTCTCTATGCCAGCATGGTGTCTAAAAGGTTTAGCCCGGTTTTAAAGACGTGGTTTTAAAGGAAAGTAAACGAATTTCATCTCTTCCTAAGGAGAAATCTTCAGGGTCTGAGGAACTCTGGAGCCATGGAGGACTTTCTCCACACGGGGGCAGTCATAATCCATGCCAGTCAGGGCCAAAACTATTCCTTAAGATTCCCACCGTCCTATTGTGCAGAGGACAAGTTGTACCTACAACCAACTTCAGGACTCCTCTCTTCCACAGTTCGCATAACCAAGCATCTATCAAGATGTGCATGCTCGCGCGTGCACACACACACACACACACACACACAGGCCATCTCCCATTGCTTTCTGGGCAAGGTTGTGTAGGCCTAGGTTGGCTGGTTCTGTAACAACACAGTGGCCTCCACCAATGCCATACTGTAAACCAGAAATCCTGGAAGAGCTCAAGTGTGCTGCAACCTGGGTTAGGCCACAGTGGCCATTTCAGAATTTCTTCTTCCTTTTGGCTTCTTTTCTGGCTAGGGCCTGCCATTTCCTTTAGCTTGTTTCCTGACAACTTTTCTGAAGGTAGAGCAGACAGGAGGCACGTTCCTCGCCTCAGCCAAGGGACTTCAGGGTCCCCGGGGCAACAGTTTTGGTTCCCCTAATAAACCCTAGACTGAGAGGCTTTCGTGGACTTTTTCAAAGCATCGCAGGAAGCTGGTGTGTAGCTGCTGAGTTGTTTGGGGAGAGCCCCAGGGCTGTGGGCCTTGGGGACAAAGGGAAGCACTCCAGACAGTTCGGGACTTGGGGCCGTGTGCCGCTTTAAGCCTCACATCATCCGGGCAGCTCAATCTCAGGCGTTGCTTGCCCACCTGTCGTCTCCCTCGTCTATCCAGCATCTGTCCTGCATCGATTCTGAGTCGGGCCCTCTGCTGGCTTCCGGGCAGAACACCCAGTGCCTGCCTGCAGAACTCTGGGCCCGAGGGGAAGTGGAAAAGCCAAGCCCTAGTAAAATAAATGCTATGGCACAGGTGAGCAAAAGTACTGACGGGTGTGGGGCGACGGATAAGGACTGTCCTGGGTGTAAAGCCAAGCTTTAGAGACCTCGAGCACCCCAGGCCTAGGAGGGTGGTGGCCCTTTTTAAATGGGTCAGCTCCTTGACCAGGTTCCTAGCTCTCTCCTGCTGACCTTATACCTTTGGCATAAGAAAAGGCCTGGAACCTTCTTCTGAGCCTGTTTGAGTACGCTTTGGGTGTCACCACTCAAAACCCAGCCCAGATGCCTGGCTGGAGGCCTCCGGGGCCTCCCGCCGGCATGAGAACTGCGAGCAAACGCCGATGCGGAAGATCAAGCCTAGCTCCCCGACTGACCTCTTTGTTGAAACACCCGCTCAGGGCTCCAGGAAGCCTTTCAAAGGCCAGGGTTGCAGCGTGGACCCCGCAAAGGCCTGGCCCACTGGGCTCTGGCAGACAGAGGGGAGGCGAGCGACGGGGTACTCACTGCTCGGGGCTTGAGACAGACGTCCTCCGGCCTTCCACCGTGATGTTGCTCTTTGGTCTCTTTACCACATGTGGACGGGGAGGGCGCACCTGCAGTGGGCACAGAGGGAAGTCCCGGAGGAGTGAGTTGGAAAAGCCACACAGGGACATTCCACACATCTAGATGAGCAGCCCCAAAATAAACGTGGAGGCATTTGCATAGTACAGGCTACAAAGCCTCTGCTTCTCGTGAGAACGTGGCACTGAGTGTGCAGCAGATACCCGCACGGGAAATCCGTGGCCTATTTAAGTGGGAAAGGTTCTTCTGAAGAGCTTGGTCCCCTCATCTGCAAGGAGGGGACGGCTCCACCTGCCCCCTCCTTGTGGGGCTGCCGTGGGAGTTCGACCAGACACCGTCCACGCGGGACCGGGATGCGGAGGCCCTCCTTGATGGTAAGTCCCCCCTCGCCTTCTTCTAGAACCCTGAAACTGGTTTGGTACAATGAAAAGGTTTCACTCGGGCTTTAGTTCTAGGGTACACGTGCTTATTTCCTTCTTTTTACAACTGAATTACAGGATGCTTATTTTCCTGAGGAGGAACGGGGAATAAAGCAAGTGATAGCCATCACCGAGCACCAATAAAAATCATTTTTCTGTTCCCCAGGTTGTGTCCGTGCAGTCCTCCTGAGCACGGCTCGGCCTGGATGCCACACACCCCGTGGGGCTCCTACATTCACGGGGACCTAGCTTGAGGGTCGGTGGTGGGGGTGCGTGACGGGGAAGCATACGGCTTCCTAATCCACAGCTGGCCTGTGGCAACAAGATGTGGGCCCACAGAAAAGGACACCTCCCTCCTCCCCCACCAGAGCCCGTGATGGGAGTTAGGCTAAGAATTTCTAGGTGTCCTTAGAAGGATCCTCGTCTGTTCCAGTCCACGTTACGTGGCTTTAATTTTGGCCCCATCATCTCTGAACATTTCCAGTGCCAGAGAGGGACTGGAGACAGCTAAGCCAAGAAAGTCTATCTGTGACTTTTGTTGCCAGTAAAAATGCCTGGACGTCCCCATGCAGAGGGCTGGCTCTCTCTCTGCAGATGAAGGGCCAAAGTGGATACAATGCCACAATTTGCTGAGGTCCTCAGACAAGACAAGGAAGAGCACACACATACTCCGTTTATTGCCCCCCCTTTCCTGAGCCCCCTGCTCCCCACCCCCCAGCAATTTGTGGGCAACACAGCACAATGGCTGAGGAACACAGATTACAGAAGTTGGCTGCATGAAAGACAAGTCTTTATAGAGTCTCATCAAGCCCTCAGGTCTCTGCATGTCTGATCTAACCGAAGTTTTTCCTGTGGAGTGGCCAGTCTGATCTCAGCCTTGTTTGGCAAATCAGACACACGGTAACAGCCAAGTGCATTCCACGACACTTGTGGTCTTCCCCCCACCCCATTACCACCCCCCACCCCCTCCACCAGGGTTACTCTGAATGAGGATCCAACCTCCCCGCCACCAGGGTTACTCTGAATGAGGATCC